TAATCTCTCGAGCTAGTGACTGCGATTTTTTTCGGAGGAGGTACAGGGTTTTGGAGTTTTTGTGAGGAGTTCTTCACTTTTTCAGCCGGTTCTCCGGCTGCTCAGATTTGTAACAGGTGGCAAGTGCATTAGCCGTCTGCATCCTCCACCGGAGGTCGCACAGAACGCGGTCGCGCGACCCTGCCCGTGAGCAATCTCCCAACTCATCTTAATTTGTTTACAGCAGGTTAAATCCAGGTGTAAACTTAAACTCCGGTTAACTTGAGTGTAAAACCGGGCCTAAGGACGCTACTTGGCGACTAGTAAAACACACGATATATAAATAGACATCCTGTTTGCCTGTAATTCACTTGAATTCGCTCTAATATACTCTTACATCGATGCTCTTTTAGGTAAGAATAATTGTGCGTAATTTTGAAGTGTCTGTGGCGTATGCAAGTTTTGTGATTTATTGCAAGTTAAATTTTTATTCGTTCCATTGTTTGAGGGAGATTCAGTGACTAGTCACCATGGCATTAATTTTCACCCCCACGAATCAAATAAGGTTAACAAATGTAGCCGTGGTTCGGGTGAAAAAGGGTGGCAAGAGATACGAAATTGCCTGCTACAGGAACAAGGTCGTATCATGGAGAAATAAACTGTAAGTCGTGGTTCAACGGTTCATACTTGTTATATTGTTTGTAAGCAACAACGATACCAGACTCTGTTGACAAATAGACTCTTTGCATTGTTGATGTTTGACGTCCGTGCAACTCGTAGGGAAAAAGACATCGACGAAGTATTACAAACACATACGGTGTTCACTAATGTGTCCAAAGGACAGGTAGCGAAGAAAGAGGATCTTATAAAGGCATTTGGTTCAGATGATCAAACAGAGATTTGCAAAGAAATTCTGGCTAAAGGGGAGCTTCAAGTATCGGATAAGGAAAGGCACTCTGCCTTGGATGCAATGCTGAAAGATGTGGCGACGACAGTAGCCGACAAGTGTGTCAACCCAGAAACAAAGCGTCCGTATTCGGTATCCATGATTGAAAAGGCCATGAAGGATGTACACTTCTCTGTTAAACCCAATCGCAATGCTAAGCAGCAAGCGTTGGATGTTATTCCGCAACTGAAGACTGTAATACCTTTAGAACGAGCTCAAATGAGAGTCAGGGTTCTTGTATCGGGGAAAGAAGCAAGAAAGTTAAGAGACCATATTGCCAAATTGGCTACCAAAATGGAATCCGAAGATTGGGACGGTGGAAGTTTAAATATAATTTGTACTATCGATCCAGGCCAGTACAGAGAAGTCAACGATATAGTGAGAACCGAGACAAAGGGAACGGGAATTCTGGAATTACTCGATCTGAAAGAAGTCACTGAAGGGGAAGAGATCCTAGAGTGATTCTCGTTGCACAAAAACATTCTGCTTTCGTATGAACGTTATTAAAAGGTCGCTATTAAGGCTGTTTCTTAAATTGTAGTTTAATAAATACATTGTACATAAGTAACATTAATGACTTTAAATAAATCTGATGTGTCTATTATATGTACTCGATAGGGTTGATATTTTTACATGGAAGTTGACCCTTCTTCTCGTGTAACTGTATTTGGCATTACTTGCAACATTAAATGTAACATTGTACAATGACTATAATACTCTAAAGAGTAATTAACAATCGTTATAGTACACGAAGGCTTCCGATCGCTTTTCATATACATAGTACTTGATCGTAACATGTTGGTCCTTGACCAAAAATACTACAGTCCTTCAAAAAAATATTTTATGCTTTTGAACAATTGTTAAATGCAGTGCGTAAGGAAGCAAGAAATCGTCCTTCTCAATTTTTTCTACCGTTCTCACTGCTGATGCCATTTAACTCTACTTCGTTTTGAGCAATGTCTTATTTAAAGCTCCTCAAAAATCAAGGTTCTAAGAAGCAGCTTGAATTTTGAAACGATCTGCACAAAATGTCTGGTTTATCAGTCGTTTACTTCTCTTCTGTAACTTCTGCGCGTGGTATGTATATGTTTTCCGTCCGCTCGTCACATTTTGCCGCAATACGGGATATCGTTAGAAGAAAGTCTGATAATCGACTCAAGTAAGTTTGTGCTTCCTGGTCAAGGACTCCGTTGCTCACCAAAGGCTTCACACTTTTCTCAGCTCGTTTACAAACTGTCCTCGCGACGTGCAAAGAAGCACACGCTTTGCCACCACCCTGTACAGAAAAACATTTGATAACAATCCTGTTATTACATCGTGTTAAAGTGATATCGAAGTAATGTCCAAAGAATCTCGTTTATGAAACTTATCTCCGAAATGCATGTACTGAATTGTTTGAAATCTTATCTCATAAATATGGATGCTCTAAGGAAGACCCCGACACCCATAAAATTTCGTTCTTTTTAAATTTGTTTATAACCATCTTTCTAATAAAAAAAAAATTCAATTTTAAGAGTACCGAGAACCTTTCTTAAAGCCCTCTACATTTACTTGTTAACATTTCAATTGATTCGGTACACCCAGTTGAGAGAAAGATGTCAAATGATTAAACCCTCAGATGTTGGCTTAACAGTACATCCAATCGAGAGAAAGGTTTCATAAACAATTAAACCCTCAGATAACCCTTTCGTATCACCGTAAAAATAATTCTAAATTAAATAATTACAGGAATGATATAATCTTCAGGTGGAGGTAGTTGATTTGAGTATTCCGAGATCCATTCCTCCAAGTCTTTCGTATGTTTAATCTCAAAAGATCTTGGTTTTCCAGGCGTCGATCTTGATATAGCATGGTTTAAATCGAATAAAATCATCTGCACCCTCTTTAGTTTATCTACATAAGGATGCTCCACTTTGCTATCGCACGCAAACTCTCTTGCTAGTCCGATATAACACGACAGTTCGTCAGTGGCACCGAGTGCATCGTACACTATGTCATCCTTTGCTCTTGAGTCCGAAGAACCAGAGTCACTGTCCCTTGAAAGAACCGTGGCCTCGGCTACATTCGACGTTGTACTGTTGCTACTGTACAAAAATGGATTATTTATTAGACAACGAATAATTTTAAAAAAGCTCATACCTAACGACAATGTTAAATCTAACCATTTTTCAAAACAGTTCAGGGAAAACATAAAGCACACCATTTAAATACAATCTAAATATGTTATTGGCCATACGTTTAGGTACATATTAATATTATTATTTATTCTACAGAAAAAAAAATGGTTGAATTATGATAATTATAATTGTAAAGAACTATATTTTGATATACGTCGTTTGTTATTCCTGATAGCATTCAATAGTTTTAAAAAGTCATTTCCCTCGAGTATCAGAAAATTGGCAAAAATATTAATAGTTAACTAAAATTTGGAGTAATTTTACTTTTATATAATTGGCAATCATTTCTATAGTCAAATATTCTATCAATATGTGCACAGAATAGAACTATGTGAAACTAAAACTTGTTAAGATGAAGCATAAAGAATGGCATTGTTCGGAAAATGACTCTAACGGCTCAAAACAGTTTTTTGTATAAAGTGATACGTACCTAAAAATATGATTCATAACACGTTTAACCTGTATTTACATGTTATGTTTAATTTTGTCCTGTACCTGCCAGAAAAATGGGTATTTTCATCCAGTTAATAGGTACGAGTTCCCTTAGAGAGATATTAAAACCGGATTTCCAGAGGATAGAAGAGTGCGACTTTGAGGTTAGGACGTTTAGTGGATTGTACCTGTTTCTCTGAGCAGGCAGCAAACTAGCCTTGTAGATAAAAACGGATCTCTTCCAAGCGTTTCTAGCTAGCTCCATTGTAACTGGTCGTGGTTTGCGTAAACGATAATCGTGATCTTTTCTGGCTTTGCGAGTAAATCAATCGTCGTCGAGAGCAAACATGTCACGGCGAGAAAATACTGGAAAATAGAACTTAATAACGATTGCACGTGGACGATACCTACGACAAACCACCAGCTATAAATCAATGAATGGCCTTGCCAGATTTTACTATTCATCTAACGCTACATACATATCTCTATTTTACCCTTTTTACATCTAATCAGTCTCCACACTGTTGGCGGCGATGCATTTGTGCAATTTCTGCTGATTTACGCGTAACCGTACGAGCAGATTCGACCGGCGCATGCGCGAGACGTTCAAAAATTACTAACCTATGAGACAAGTCTATACTTACGATATTAATTCGTTACAGTTTCATTCATATTTGCAGTCATCAATAGCCGGTAAATAATTAAGAAAATTACTATCAATAAATAGTACATACAATGCTTTTAAAGGGTTGGAAATATCTGACACTCGGAACAGGTGTGTATCGGTGGACTGCGATCGGGTCTTAAATTGGCAATCGATTTATTATGTACAAGATTGTCAAAGGTACAAACGTATTTACATACAACGTACGCGTAGTTTAGCTATTGGAGCGCCAGTTACGGTTTAAGCCCTTGTGGGTACACGCAAAGAATTCAAAAATCTCCATAGAGCCCGGGATAAGGATGTTCGATGCTCGATAAATGGTACATTAGCCAACTGGTGGCACTATAATCATCTCGGGATTTTTCTTAATCTTAGGACAATATATACCGGATTGCATTATTTCTTTCCAACTTTTAGAGCGTCGAATGCTATGGACTCTGAATTCTTTGGTACACGCTATTGTGAAATAATACAATTGATCTTACTATGCATCATTAAGTGGACTATTCCCATAATCCGATTAGGCATTTTTAAAATGCACTTATGTGACACGTTTTTAATAAGTCCACCTTATGTAATAAGAATTAAAGAAATAGGTTTTATTATCAATTCTCATAGTCCAAAGGGAAAATGATAACTATATTATGTACAACTATCGTTCGTATATCTCCGTTAAACTGCCGAACACTTATGGCTTATAAGTTTGAGGGCCGGTTGCACCATCTTCAAGTTAAAATACTTAATCAAGGATTAGTTAACGAGTGATTAGAGATAACTACTTCTTACTCGTTAACTTATCTTAACTCAAGAATTACTTAACGAGTGATTAAAGTTAACTGCCTGATTTCGGGCGGTTACCTAACAGTGGATTTTAATCTTCAGTTAGCCATTTTTGTAACACGAATTTCACTAATCCGAGATTAACTAATTGTAGTTAAGAAATTTCACGCTAATCACGGTTGGTGTAACCGGCCCCAGGTCTTGCAGTTGTCATTGAACAAGTTTAACTTAGCTCAGTTTTCGAAGATAATAGGTTTGTTCAAATTAGCTGTACTTTCTACACTTAAGTGTAACGAGTGTAACTGACTGCATTACATTTTTCATGAGAAGTGCAAAAGTGTAGATACACTTTCATTAACTATCCCAAATACCAGAAACCATGAGAGTTTAAAATGAAATGTTTCAATTTCCATCGAACTAGTTACAGTAAACTAGTTTTAATGGGAATTGAAAAACACAAATAACATTTTCTGGTAAGACTAATGCATTTACTGTATGTTTTTTGATACCAAATGATACCAGCTTGCACTCTCTACACCTATTCGAGGGCGAGTACAGAAGGTGCTTCATTTTTGTACTAAAAAGCAAGCAGTAATTAGACATATTTGCGATAGTTAATGAAAATTGTTATGCCACTGACATGAAATTTCAAGGCGGCCATTTTTTATTTTTGACAAATGTAATTTTTAAAAGTTTGCATGTTCTAACAATTGCAGTAACACTATCACTGAGTACCGAACTACACGAAAAGTGTGCACACTGTCAACACCAAAACCGTGTTGCTGTATATTCGCATAACACTAGTGTAAGAAAGCGTAGCCCAGCTAAAAACGCTGTAACCTGAACAAACCTATTAAGTCTTGAGCTAACCCACCAGATAATCAAGTGCTTTGTCCCTGTCGATATCGCACTTTAAAAGTGCAGCGGATGCTTCGTCTTCAGGGAATCCTAGATCCATTAGAGTGCACAAATTTTCATGATAAAGTTTGGCCTTGTCTTGATTGTATTGGGTCAGAGCTAGAGCCTTTTCAACCTTATCTCCAGATATTCCAAGTTCTTCCAGTGACTGGACAGCCAGTAAATACTCTACCACCTTTTTGTTGTCTTCGCCTCCTAATTCATGCACTGCTCGAGCAGCTCTGGATAACGGGAATCCCATATCGCTGAGATGCTTCACTAGTTTTCGATCGTTTTCAGACATTTCAGCCAACAGTGGACTTAACGATCTAGAACTGATCGACGAAGATGGGTTATCGGGCTTGAAGAGTCGTTCTGTATTGCTTACAGGGCTTTCCAAATCTGGCCATGGCTTCCAATTCTAGAATACAAGCAGGGATACTACGTTTTAGCAAATAATTAGCTGACAAATAGTGATCCCATACTACTAAAATTACCTCCATAAAGGGACGAGTTAGCTCTTTCTGGAGTTCTTCAACGATCACTGCTACACTGCGATGATTCGAATTACAATGATTATTTGATTCATCACGATCGACGGCCCTATTACTGAAGTGTGTTTCCGACTCGGTATCTTTAGGTCGATCGTGACTTAATGTCGCGTCTTCCATTATATTTTCCAATTTAACCGAAGGTACCCATTGAGAGTTGGGCTGTAAAACCTGTTTAAAAACGGAAAGATTTGTTAATACACAGTGAATTACACTTTTCATAAAAGATATCGATAAAAATTTGGACCTGTGCAAGTTCTTCCATATCGTTAATACTTTTCAGCTCCATATTATCAAATGGACTACTCGTATCGTTGTCAAAATCTGCAAGATTTAAGCCATTCGATTTAATACAGTTCTGAAGATCGTTTGCGGGAGGTGATAAAGGTTGGGGAGTGAGAACTGTCGTTTCAGGCACTGGTGTTGCTTTAACTGGAGGTTGGCTTATCGATTCCGAAGGAGGAGGAGAGATATTCCTTTCTTCCTCCTCCTCGACTTTCTTCTTCTCCTCCAGCCGTGTCCGTCTAGCTTGAATAATTTCATTTCTAACTTTGCGCCACTCTACTATCTGTAAGAATATTAATGCATTCCGATAAAAACGTCGATACAGAGAATCTGCTATTTTGTCAGTAAAAGCAACAAATAACTAACGAAACGGTAACTATTTTACCTTTGTTACAACTGACTTTTCTAAAGTAAAATCGTACTCGTATCTCGATACATCCGGAAGTCTGTTATTGTACGCTGCTGGCAGAGCTATTCTTCGTGGAGGCTTATAAGCTTCAGCGATCTTAACGTTAACTCCATCCATAGACGAAGCTACTGCATCACACTGGGCCAAGGTGGACGCCCGCGCCATAATTTGTGCAAACTACCTGTAACGTTAATTAAATCCTTAACCAATTTATTAAACGATAAAACACCGTTGCACTCGTCCTAACGAGCACTCGCGAGATTTGCAAAACTTGTTGCCAAGTTCCTCAGGCGATCCTAACCTTCATTCATCCGTGTTTTAATTCGCCGCTAGAATTCGATTGAGCTAGCGATTCTTACTGGAGCGGCTTTCAGAATAACGTGAATAATCATTAATATTTAGTCATAATTCCCTAACTTTTCACATGCACGATTTTCTGCCGACATAACTAATAAATTCTCGCGAAATTTTGACCGATTTTAACTGATTTTGACAATCAACTTGAGTTTCCCGGATGAGGCCGCCATCTATAGTCGTTTTTTAAAAGAAAGCTTTGATCATGAAATAGCATAAAGAGCTCCCTTTCTATGAATACGTCTTCATCGCACTCCTAAATCCGGGATTCATCAGGTCCGGATTTAGTAAATTGCATGTTCCAGGGTTGGTAATTTCGCGTTTTTCAAGGTTTTTCGCGTATATTATGTAAACCAGGTAGTTTACCGTAGAAAATTGTAGCAAATCAGCAAATTACGTTTTTATCATAGAGAACGCAGCAGATTTACATACGATATACGGTATCCGTTAGGTTATAAACATTTTTTAACGTACATGTAAACACGTAAATATTTTAGAAATAGAAGGACGCAATATACTTCGCGCTTACGTAAAAAACTAGGGACGTATTATACGTTGTAATATACGTGAAAAAATCACATATATTACATTACGTATTATACCTACCCAACCCTGATTATATCTACATAACCTACAAGTAACGAAACGACGGAGGTGGAATAAAATGTTTTGATTGGCTGCAGAAAACGTACAGAAGAAAGTTCCCCTTTCCACTGTTTCTCTACACCCAATCAAAAGCTTTCATTTACGCCACGTTGCTGTATCGCTTGTCGCTGTAGCATTAATGAAATATCAACTTTATGAGTAGGATTAGGATTCCCCCGTGAACATGGTCGATTTGTTTTTAATTTCGTATAACTTCGTCAAACCGGGAGTGGGAGCGGGATACAGCGGGATATAAGTACACATTCATATCAAGTATCTTGCTCAAATACATCGTAGCCTTTGTGCGAATCGCTTGGTCGTCTCCGATTACGAATTTATAGCAACTTAACGTAAGTATATTACTTTCAATTCTACTTTATTCTACGGTGAGATACAGTAATAGTTTGAGTTCAAGTCGGGCTACGATTTATTCTACATTTGCAGATTTAGCGGCTGAAGTAAGGCCTCCGTATTGAGACGCTCTTGCTGTAGATATTAATATATATTCTGGGCACGTTTATATTACAATAAATTCTTCAATCCATTATCCGAGAATCTTTAGGAATTCAGTTAAATAGGAATAGTAATTGAGTAAATGATTAGATAGAAATTAACTCATCAGGAACCATATAGTCGCAATCTGTATTTCGAAAATCTTTTTATAATGTCTGCTTTGGTTCCAGATTAAAAATGAAATTCAATACTAATGTTATTTGCATAACGATTGTTATGCTATTAACGTCCTGCGTAACGGAGGCCGGACCAATTGCAGCTGGCATTTGCTATGCCGGTTGCGCAGCGGTTGTGACCGCTTGCTTTGCTGCGGCTGGATTTACTTTTGGGACCGTCCCGGGTGCTCAAATCGCAGCTGTGCCTGCACTGGTTGGATGCAACAGTGCGTTTGGCGTTTGTGAAGCAGCTTGCATAGCTGCTCTTGTAGCTCCTACTGTCTAAATTTTTCAAGAATTATTAACTCCAAATAAAGATAACTTTTCATGCTTTTTATTCTACATGCGATAACCATTATGTATGAATATATAGCATATAGCTTTCAAGCAAAGGTTTCAATTTTCGATAAAGATTTTCTTATTTTATTGATTGTATGTTCCACTGATTGTAACTCCAAATAAACGACTTTGAGGTACTAAAAGTATCCATATAAGATATGATTAATATCTATACTTATCTCTCTGAATTGATTATATGAGTCAGGTGTTTTTAACTTTAAAAACTTTTAAACATGATGTTGCTCTCTCGTGGAAGACTTACTTCAACCGCGGTCCAATGGATTCTGATAATGAAGAAGTTTAACGAAGGAACAGGTCAGCAGATATAAATAGGCTATCTTGTGTGACCCTTTAACACACGATATAATATTAATGCATCTGTCTCCACAAGCAGTTGGTACCAAAGTTATATGGCATGTATATCCAATATAACAATAAATAAGAAACGATAAGTTACTTGTAAGGACGGACGAAAGTTATCAGCTGTCCATTTTAAAATTTCCTGATAGTACATGTATACATTGGGAAACTTTATCTATTGTTACATGTTGAAACAGTTAATAATATTTAAGTAAATCTATATTCAAAGATTAATATATTACATTCTTCGTACATTCATTTTCACTTTGTTAAAAGCTACAGCGGTCTGTAACTTCTTCCTTATACGCCATATATTTACAAAAACTTTATTAGAAACTTAATTGATGTTCCAAAATATGTTGTTTCAGTTGATCAAAGCGTTATATCAACAATAATGATACCAAATTCTACGACTTTGTCTTATAATTTGTAGATTAAATCATCACAGCACATGCATCGTGTTATCTTTAAAGACAATTTTACAAATAATTAAAATCTGCCCATGGTAGACTAGAGAAATAACTATATAGCAACTTGAACTTTTATATTAACAGTAGACAATCTCGCACATTAATATTGTAAAGACTTTAAACTTTCCATAGATTTGTTCTCGATCTAACATTACTGCAATAGAAATAAAGAAAGTACAACGATAAAATAGAACGTGATCAACATTTGGGCCATTCGCTTAATTTAAATTGCCCTTTACAAATAAGTCATTATATTTGAATGAACAGCTTTACACTGTAGCAAGGAACTATTCAAGCAAAAATGTTTTTGCGGCAATGAAATTATTCAGAGAGGTGAGGCTACGAGACGGCTCAAAGATTGTATAAAATAGTTGACACATAGATTGCACACCATGATTGATACATCGTCGGTACGAATGATTAAGACGAGGTTTCGTTTATAGGACGTGTAGATTTGGCGTAACATCTTGTATCTAATTTCTCACTTCTCGACGAACGTACATTCATACCCACGCTTCAACAGAAGTAACTTCGTCACAGCATCGTTGGCGATTGTCGGAGTTCGACTAGAAATCTTCCTTTGGGGTATACACGATTTTTCGAAACGAAGAATTGCAATCTTCCGAAAGGTGTTTAACTTTGGATAGAACGTTTCACATCCAATCCATTGTTCCTAACCTCTTTCATGTTAATCACAACCACGGTAATATTGTCCAAGGATCCACTGAGAACGTAAAGTCATATTTACATGAGCTTATTTTTATGTCGATGGCAGATGTACTATTAATTCCCCGATGACGACAGTAAAGTATAACTTCTCACCGATAGTAGCTTTGCAACGTAATGCTCTTGGCACCAAAATGCGGCTCGTCGATGCGTTCCTTGATGAATGCTACAGCTTCTTCATTTGAGAAGGTATCCCACAGCCCATCAGAAGCCAATATTAGGAACATGGGGTTGTGGTCACCTAGATCGAATGTCAGTATATCTGGGTCAGCAACCACCAGTCTCATATCTTTTAATGGATAATCTCCGAGAGCACGCGAAGTGGCTAAAATACCAGCCACTCGCCACACGCCATTAAATGTCACATATCCACCAGCCTCCTTTATTCGTTTTCGTTCTCTTTGCTAAAAAAAAAATAGAATGGGGTATTAGTCAAGTAACCGTGGCAAATTAAGCAATTTAACTCTTTTTGTGCCAACACTGTCACATAATACCATGGTATTACAATCTCAGATTAAATTGCAACAATTCAACATTTACTTGAACTGACCACAGAACGACATACCTGTTCACGTGAATTTCTTACCTGTTGAGGTTTATGGTCAAAAGACAAAGGTATTGCGTTGCCTTTACCATCGCACATGACTCCCCTTGAATCGCCAACATTGGCTACGATGAGTCTACTTCCTTCTAAAAGTGCAATTAATGCTGTTGTACCTGAAAAAAGAATTAAAATATATTAAGTTCCCATGTGAACGGTAATGAGGTACGTATCTCATCTAGAAAAGTTTAATTATGCTTCTAACTTCGGAACTAGATACCTGCAACATCCATATTTTTTTTTGCTGCTTTGACCAACAATCTGTCGATTGCAAGCACTTCGTCAGTTAGAAGTTTTCCATAATTAATTTTATCACCATCGAGGTAGGTAGTTACATCAACTTTTTGAACCTGCTCTTCTTCAGGCCTTTCGGCTCTGACCTATAGGAAAGTTTAAGCATGAGAAAGATGTGTTGATTGTAGAACAGCATTGCATTAACATACCTCTCTAGTGACTAATTTTCGAAGGCTGTCAAGTTTATTAAGTAACTCTGGGTCAGTGACTCCACTGGTTTTCTTTGCATGTTCATCAGTCTGAGATACAGTTTTTCGGAAGGACCCCTTTCGACTGACAGACTCCGCGCCTTGCATTTCTCCATTTGTCTTATTATTACCATCCAATGTTTCGTTTCGCTCCTGCGCTGATCGTGGCAATTTTCCAGCCAAAATATCTTTTAGCTCAATGACCTTCTGGTTGATACTTGGAACAAGTTTATCTCGTGCATAATTAGCTGCAAACTGTGAATCGTCATTTAATCGCATGTCTCGTTTATTAAGAAAATTGTACAGAAGACAAACATACTTCTCCACCATGTCCATCAAAAACAGCAAATAAAGAAACCCCTGTGTCTTCTATGTCGCTATTGATAACAAATCGATCTTCCATTCGAGGTCTTCTGCCTTGAACTGCATACGCAGCGACGGGACCTTCTTTCAACTCCCAGCTGAATTTTTCACCCTTCGGTACATTATTTAAAAACTGGAGCTTAGCAACCTGCATAAACAATGCAAAACAAATTCTCGTTATTGCCACGTATATGAAATTTCAATGTGATAAAGGAGAACTACATGCAAAGTGATCATATCAAAGATCGAGCGTACTTTGGATGTAGACCGTTCCAGGGTGCGCTGTATTCTTCCAAGTAGCGTTCTGCTCCAAACATCAGCAGCTCGCAGATAAAGTAACATTACCATCAAAACAGCGCCACATGCCAGAACTTCTGGCTTGAATGCATAGGCACGTATCGATCTCCAAAAATAACCCAGTGGCGCATTCACCGCTGCATCGAGGCCAGCAGGAATGCCTACTGCGAGTTTCGACATAAGCTTCATGTGTGAGACGTACGTCTATTGCAAAACACGTCGTATTATACATAATCCCACAATGAAATATAATCGCATTAATTGTGCAGACGTCGAGCGCGACATTACCTGAATCCCTCTAGCGTCAATCTAAATATCGTCCTACCGATTGTAACAATTCTGACGCTTCGAGCAGTCGACGAATCAAAGGTTATGTTTGACCATTACCTGATACAGTACTTTATCCTCCAGCTCGTCGTCCATGATATTTGCGGTGACCGCGACACCGGATATAAACCGGAAACGTCGTACTAGCCGACAGTACTCGATTCGAATCCTCCTCAAGGTTAAACGCCGGTCGACCGCTACAATTGGTCAGCCGCGAAAAAACTTGCGCACCGACTGGCTCGCAATTATGACCTTACAGCTTTGCAGGAGGCCAAGGACGGTGGAATTACATTTTCGACAAGCGCCTCAACTTTCGAGGCGTTCGACGCTTCGTTCTCTTTATTGCGATTCACCTGGAATTATCAGAAATTGAACGCTACCAGAAGACACCACCATTTGAGGTTACTTTACCTGATCGGGAAATTCGGGCAAGAGATAGCAGACGACATTACTTTGGTCAGAGTCGATTCTCATGTAACGTGATCGCGAACTTCTTTACCGACAGATCCAACTGTTAACCTCAGTAGGTCCAGCTGGTAGTTCATAAATTGGCGTATTAGAAAGCGCGGACGTATAAAAAATAAGATTTTCGTAGGAGCACATCTTGTTTCCTTTGCATCTTGCTTCTGTATGGAAGTGGTAGTTCTTTATATTATTATACTCACGGTTATATTTAGTTATACTCCTTCATGTGTGCGACTAGAAATCCCGGTCGTGCATAACCTCTTTAATGATGTATAATGAATTTTGAAAAACTTTTGGGAATTATATGAAAACGAGGTTCTCTTGAAAGGAAGAAAATGAGTAACTATGACTGTATGTTAAATTGATTCGGACTTTGTAAAAGAAATTCGTGTGTATGTTTTTCAAAATAGAACGTACGATAACGTATAATGAAACTGGTGTCAAAAAACATCGAAAAGGGTGGAGAAGGGTGAGTGGAATATTTCTATACAGTTCGATGAATCGGTAGTCTATTTTCCGTTTTCTTTTGCAGGAGTGTGTCCCTCGTTCCGGAAGATGCGGAAGACATGTGGCATGCTTATAACTTAATCACAGAGGGTGATTATGTTACATGTTCTACTTTTAGGTAAATGTTTTCAATGAGAAGCTTATCTGTAGTCTTGATTAAGTCATTCACGTTTGTCATTTATTTTATTTCATCGTAGAAAAGTACAATCGGAGTCCGCAACAGGAAGTTCGGTTAGCCAGAAAGTGCGAACGACTCTTAAAATATGTGTAGAAGGTATTGACTTTGACACGCAAGCGTGCATGTTAAGGCTGAAAGGACGAAACGTGGAAGAGAACCGATATGTCAAGGCAAAGCATTAAGTGTAATTTCTTTCATGTATATATCACAGTTACCTTTTATTCTTATTTGTTGCATTTGTTTTGTAGATGGGAGCATACCACACTTTGGATGTAGAGCCAAATAGAAAGTTTATATTGACTAAATCATATTGGGATACGATCTCGGTAGAACGGGTGGATATGGCCTGTGATGCAACTCAGGTAGGAATATTGGATGCATAATATTTGTGTACATATAACGAGCATGCCGAATGTTTCCAAAGAATGGAGATACTCCGAGACTTGTTCTTATTTTTCAGAGGGCAGATGTAGCTGCTGTGGTAATGCAAGAAGGATTAGCTCACATCTGTCTCATAACTGCAAATATGACCATAGTTCGTGCTAAGTTGGAGCACGTTATTCCTCGTAAAAGGAAAGGCTACGTGTCTCAACACGAGAAGGTGAAAATTCTGAATTACTTTGATGGTAAACTACAGTGCCGGATTATCCAGTAGGCAATAGTGGAACTGGTCTATGGCATCTTTTCAGGCCCCACAACATGAAAAGGGAAGTGTTTAATTATTGTCGTGGATAAAATTGTCCCTATAAAAATTGTTGCTTGGTAAAATGAGGGAATAAAATAACATGGGAAATAATTTGCGTCTCTGACAAGTCCCTACAGGATTTAATCTGGCACTAGTGAATTATAATAATTGTGTATCACTCAAAAACAATTTTGTTTTTCAGGGTCTAGGCCGTTTCTACGAAAGTGTGATGCAAGGCATTCTTAGACACGTAAACTTTGAAATAGTTAAATGCATAATTATAGCAAGTCCAGGTTTCGTTAAAGAACAATTCATGGACTACATTATTCAGCAGGCTGTGAAGTCTGATAATAAGGTTATCTTGGAAAACAAAAGTAAATTTATGCTGGTTCATTCAAGTTCTGGATTTAAACACTCTTTGAAAGGTATATATCTTATCGTTAGCAAGTTGAGGAATGGAATCATTGAACTACACGAGGCAACGCTTTTTCTCCCTTTTATAGAAGTTTTAGCAGATCCAGCTGTGGTCAACCGTATTTCAGATACTAAAGCAACTGGAGAAGTCAGAGCATTGGAGTTGTTCTCTACTATGCTTCAAACGGATCCAGATAAAGCGTTTTATGGCAAAAATCACGTAGAAAAGGCTTGCAATGCTCAAGCCATCGAAACTTTACTCATATCGGATAAGTTATTTAGGTAAGGCTAACTAGTGTGACAAAAAGAAAGTTTAAAAATGTAATTCCATAAGTATTGTTATCGACTTTGTTATTAACAGGTGTCAAGATGTGACAGTACGGAAAGAGTACGTCAATCTGGTCGAAAGTGTCAGAGAATCTGGTGGTGACGTTAAAATCTTTTCCAGCATGCACGTATCCGGTGAACGTACGTTAAATATATATTCCAAGCTGTCTAAGAACAATCGTTGCATGTATTCTGTACAATAAGCGTAATGGTTTTCAGATTTGGATAGGTTGAGCGGAGTGGCAGCAATATTACGATTCCCAATGCCGGAGTTAGATAGCGAAATTGAAGGAAGTGAATCTGAAGGGGATGACTGACGTCATTTCCGTTTTATCAGCAACAACTTCGTATTTTTATGTTACGCGCAAGGACAATTGTTGCATTGTATATAAATTGTTTTATATATAAAACTGATTTTATTATTTATACAGAGTGCTGGTTGTAGGATGTGGAATTAACGGCATCGATAATAAAGCACGCTTAATCAATCCAAAAATTAACAATATAACGGTACTTGAAATTAGAGTCCTAAACGAGGTAAGTTACGTTAGGAACGATGAGAAATTCCTGTTAAGTTATCGATAATTTCTCCAGAACTTTTTTTCTTTATAAATTATGAGAATTTAAATATTTGTGACGGAAGTCGAACAATTTAGAATACCGTAGAAATGGAACATTATAGAGTCGATGGGAAAATATGGGAAATACTTTCATCAACGATTGCAAGAGAATGCTGGCTTGTCCTACGGCTAACACGTGTATTTAGAGCAAAACTTTAGTTACAGTTAAACGTCACAGATGGCGACGTTGGTCCTAAACAGTCATTAGAATAATGAATTCCCGGAGTTTCGGTAGTTTTACATCGATCTCTTCATCAATACATTACCGAAATGCCATATGAAACGCTTCAGTTCGTATAATTATCAACGTGGACTGTAAAAGACTTCAACATAAATATAAATATCGATAATGTGAAGCGCCAGCTTATGTTACACCACTTGAGTATTCAAAATGACGTTACCGCCAAACAGGGTATAGATGGATTTTAATTTCTCGACCTCGATAAAATTTCTCAGTGGCTTAACGTCATCTTAAAATCGAAGAAATTGAAACGAATGTTGTTAGTTCCATCCATGCACTTTGTAAATAGAGTCGGCGCAAGATAGCGCTATCCTCGGCGATTACTTTAGTTCGCACGTCGCCGCAGTCGCGAGCCAGCGCTACAGTCGTTTCGACTGCCACGTAATGTTGTGACTCGTTTACGTAGAATACGTTTCTCGTTTCCTGAGTAGTAGTAGATTCAATTGGGGAGGCCGAATTTTCAGGGATGAGATGCTCGAGCTAAGGAACGTGAAACAATAGGGGCGGGCGACCTGAGCGCATTATCTGGAGGCGACGGGGCACGTTAATTGAGGGACACGACCGAGCGAGGTAAAACGAGATCGTTTGCACTCTTCTAATGAGGGGGACCTTTTTGCCTGGGGACGTCTCGATGACGTTTCGACTTTGCGGACCTGAGGCCGCGCGTGCGTATGTAAACGCGTGTGTGTCCAGGCCGACGGGAGAGGCTCTCCTCGTGGATATTTTTATTAATCTCTGTAAATCTCTTGCCCGCAGATGCATGCTCTAAGTGTACCCTAAGTGCTGCGCTGTTTGGTCCTTCTTACATACCTATTGTCCTTATTTGCGCTGCTTAAATCTCTGCACTCTCTTTTTGCAAGCGGAATTTGACCCTGGCCTTCTGAGAAAGTCTTCTCGATGATCTCGTCACTTGGAATCGAAACTTTCCCACAGGTTGGAGATCGCACTTTAGAGCGTCACGGATAATGGCTCGGTTTGCGGATGGGCACGAAGTCCTCGTACGAATTTCAATAATTTATTGGGAATCGTGCAGAACTCGTATTAAGTCGTAATGTGTGCGGTCGTCCGATCCTTGCCGTCAATGTCTTATTGTATGTTTCGGTCAGTTAAAGTCTTGAAACAAGTGTCAGCGGTAAAGTTTAATCGTTGCTTTGTTGGGGGTCTTTGTCACTTTAATTAGGAGGTAACTTTGAGATTCTTGTATTAGCTAATTATGGAAGGCTTAAACTTTATGCATGACGTTTGGTATTCGCGCAAACAGGATAGTTCTTTTTTTCCTGGTATCGCTTTATATTTATTTTTGTTAATCTGTGATTATACTTGCATAATATGCATATAATGCATATTTTAGTGCACCAATGAGATGCATGCCAAGGCTGTTTCTTGTTATCGGGAAATTCAGTACAGTTTCATGCCAAATAATAATACATACGTACTTATTATAATTTCACTTTGTATTTGTACCATCATAGAGTCTGACGATTCTTTTCATTCTCTTCAGAAAATCCACAGAAATTGCATTTTTTACAGAGCAAAGGGATGATTTTTGTCAGAATTAAGTATTTTCTTGCTTGTAATTTGGGAACGGTAATGTGATAAAATTGTTTCAGCCGTCACCAAAGGGAGCTAAATGCTTCGATCTAGCGGCAACCAGTTTCAAGGGCCCGTCGATACCAGTGGGCCTACAAAGAGCGGTCAGCTGGCTATGGTCAATGGGCAGGCAGGACCGCCACCACATATTCAGAATGGGATACAACCAGGACGTCTCGATCCTCTTGGTAAGATGTATTTCCAATATAGATATAGCGAAAGCAAAACATTGGATGCTTTTTAAATGAGAGGTGAACAAAAGTATAGTTTATTGTTCATAGATCCTGACAAGCAGGGGACAATTTCACAAGGAATATTAAACTAGATATACGTTTGAATGCAGACTTCGTTACATGTCTAGAAAGTATGAATTTTCTTTGTACTCAATGCCAAGGCTTTCTTGCAAGAGTTGCCAAGATAGTGTTTAATATTGGCAGCATAAAACGCAATTGAGAATTTTGGGGGTTTCGGTTGGGACGATAGTGAAGAGTAAGATATTAATTTGGGCAAATTAAAAATGATGGGTTGATATTTTCTGTGATGGTTATAGTATGTAATTTGGAAGTGCCTTGTTTATGGATCCGTTTAAAACATATCATTGAATTTGCGACTTTCATATTTGAAGTTTCATTGTCTGAGTTAGTAAATTTAATAGTGGGAGAATAGGGTACAATTAAATTCATGTGGATTCCAGGTACATCGTCGTCTCAGCCAACAAGAAAGCCATCAAGAGAAGCTTCCAGGGACTCGTCACCAACTCAATTCATCAATGGCCGCTACAGACCTGGAATGCCACTCTCGGGGTAAAGTCTGAAAATTAGTATTGTCCATCAACATCTAACATAGCGTTATTCTTTTTAAAGAATCGGGTCTTTAGATATGTAATCTGTATTCCAAAACAGTCTCATTTGTCCAACTTTTTAGTAACAACTGAGCATACCTTTACCGAATACAGTTTTTAAGTATCGTTAATACTTATATGTATGATTTCTTTTTATTCTATTTGTCACTTTTCTCAATTTCATTTACCCTTTATGTTTGTGGTAATTGTTCTTTAATAGAACAATCACCTGGACTGCGTGAAAAGAAATGATAACTGAAAATGTAACCATCTGTTACTTTTACACAGGTCCCCGATGACTCCTGCCGATGATCAACGAATTAGCGATCAAAATGTAGCATTAAAAACAACTCAAATGCAATCACAGGGATCGTCAGCAATGTCAACCACCAGTGCATCCAATGATTCGGCTATCAATTCTGCAAATGTTACTGGATCGGTACCAAGTTTTATAGTACCAGGAGCACCACCAATAGACCCTCATTCCAGGTTCGAATAATTATTATATATTCTGTAAATAAATCCTTGCTTTAAAGGCGTACATCAAAGTTACGTGATAGTACTGCTTTAGAGGAAGTAATAAATACTTCGGTGCAGCATTTTAAAGAAATGGTTCTTTAAGAAATGGTTCTTTAAGAAATACAGCGTAGGCTTGTTTTATCGCAATTATGGGAAGCAATGAGAATTAGTAATTCCAATTCCAGGCAAGCTACTGTCCCGCCAGTTCCAACGATCAGCAGTCGCATGCCAACGATAAATACAAATCATGGCAGCAAAGAGGATTTTTTAGCGAGCCCCAGAAATTACGTGTCAAGTTCAGGTGTTGGCCCTTCGAAGCCAGAACTCGCGAGACCCGTTCAAACATTTCCACCAACGAGTTACGGAGCTTCTGGGACTGGGTATCAACAAACGAGTGGACTCGTAAGCTCTAACATCACTCAAGCTGTGTCACACAACGCCGATAGGTCGAGCAATCTAAGTCAGGCTACTTCGTTGACGAAGAATCCAAGCCAACCGAGTCAGAATGTGAATCAAATGCAAGGCCCCCAAAATTTGCCACCCTCGAATTTAATGCACGGACCGCCAAGGAGTCAACCGCAAACCACATTTACGCCATTGCCTGGGGAAGCATCGACAGACTCTCGCGTACCTCGGTTCGGAGGACTACAAACAGGGAAAGTAAGCGATGTTCTTTATTGAACGAAAACATTACTCTCTAGGGAATGAGAAATTGAACTTTCTCGTCAAGTTAAATTATTCATTAACAATCTTTCTTCCAATGCCTTTAAGCGAATTTTTAAACAATTGAGATCTCATGGGTCTCGGAATCTTGCTCTGCGAACTCTTTGACTTCTCCGATATGTACAGATGACTCTTTCATATCACCTTGAGGTCCCGATAAAGGGCGGTCCTTTTTAAAGCAAGATTCTTTTTAGATTCATCCAGAACATTTTTCTGATAATGTACTCTCATTTCTAGAACGCCTTCCCGGCTCCTCGGAGTGTACCAGATGGACCACCGAGAGACTCGCAAGGTTTTTTCCCGAATCCTCCCAATGTTAACCGGTATCCAGTTCCGGAGCAACAACCGACATCGGATCAAATGCCTCGTGCCGAATCGCAAGCTCCAGCTCAGGCCATGTCGCAAAGTCAATACCAGGTTCGACCGCCCGTCCAACAAAATGTATTTGGGCCTCGGTCGAATCCAACAACCTCCGAGCCGCCCCGAGAACAGAATCCAAATTCGTCGACTGCGCAACAAACTCTAACCACTCAAAGGAAGTATCCTCAAAGCCCGTACCTTGCACAATTGCCACCGACGCAGATGCCGCCTACGTCAGGGCCGACAATGGGACCCAGGCAATTTCCAGGAACAAATGTTCCGCGACAAATGACGGTGAGCGCCATCTAGCAGTCGTGCCCGTAATTGTGGAGGTGGCCCGAGTAATTTTTTCTTTCGTCGAAAAACTTCACATTGTCATTTACATGTATGCAACACGTGATATGAGGCGAGGATAATGATGAGGCGAGGATAATGATGTTTCTTTTTATATTTTTTTTAGTTAGACCAGCTTCATAATTATCGGCACAATTGGTCGCATTCGATTTCCTGGCGCGTGATGCGTCAGAAATTAATCTACTAACACATTCCGTGAATATTTAGTTTCTTCCTATGCCAGTTTTTGAGGAAATGTGTCGGTAGTTTTGAAAAATACCAGCTGGGAATTTCAAGGTATTTCCTCGCTTCTGATGTCGTAATTCAAGATGGCCGACTAAGGGCAAAGAATTCAGAAGTCTCCATAGAAGCCTAGGAGGATACGGACGTTCGATGCTCGATAAATAGTACAATGGTGGACATGAATGCCTCCCCTGCAGATACGGCATCGCCTGTGCAGGATGGGAGGGCATTGATGTCTCCCAGTGTACATTGGCGGGCATGAATGCCTCCCCTGCAGATACGGCATCGCCTGTGCAGGATGGGAGGGCATTGATGTCTCCCAGTGTACTTTAGCCAACGGATGGCGGGTCTCGGAGTGAAAATTTAGTTGATTCGGAAATCACAGATGGCGCAGGGGCTTCCTATGCAGTCAATTGGGCCTCGAAAAGCATGAATCCAGAGGATTTCTGGAGTTTTACTTCGATTTCTTTATAATTATTGTATGAAAACGACAGATGGAGTATGCCATTTAGTACAATACTCAATATAATTCGACAGTTGTCAATATAAAAACGAACGTCGGCAACGTAGGTCATCAGAAAAATCTCTACCGACGTGAACCAAGTTCCTCGACGTATTTCACTTCACCTTAAGCGTTAGAATCATTTGATTTTGGTATGCGATGCAAACAATTAAACATACACTTCCTTGAGTGTGATGGTTGTGATTGTTTTTCATTTATTGTTATAATTATCCTTTCACAGAGTCCGCAGGATCCACGTTCAATGTATACCGATCAAATGTCAAACGTACCATTGGATTCAACGGCGAGGAGGTATCCCGGCACTTATCCAGATCACATGAATCAACTAAGCGGTCAAATTAGTAATATGAATGTCACGCAAGCTGGCTTTGACAAATTATGGGTGAGCTGGAACTTAGAGGCCATTTGAAAGACTTTGCAATCGTAGATTCAAGATGAAACAAAGGAAAAAACTAAACTGCACTTGGCATGATATGCGTATTTTAATGTGCTATCTTTAGTAGTACACTGTTTCTGGTTATGCAATTAATTTTAATAGCAAAAATTACTGTCTCTTCAGGGGGTCGAGACGGTTGATTTACTGTACTGCAGGAATGTTTTGCCACCTGGAAGAGTAGAACCTCCTAAAATCAGGTTGCTTCAGGAGTGCTTAGAAGGCGTTAATTGCAGTCCTGAGTAAGTTCACTTTTGGAACGCTTCCTTCGAACTCCACAAATGTAACGGTGCTACTTATATCGCTAACTTTGACGCCTGTACTTTAACATTTCCACGTTCTGTTAAACAGGATTTTCAGGTGCACATTGACAAAGTTTCCTGAAACGAACTCCTTGTTGCAAAAGTCAAGACTGCCTCTAGGAGTATTAATACACCCGTTCAAAGATTTGATCGTAAGTTTCGGTGACGATTTTCAAGGGAGATCGATTATTCCTTCTCTTTTGTAATTTGTTGATGTATGTATAGTAATATTTCTTTTTTTGTTCTTACAGCATCTGCCCGTTATTCAATGCAGCACGATAGTAAGATGTCGGGCCTGTAGAACCTATATAAATCCATTTGTTTACTTCGTAGACTCGAAGAGGTGGAAGTGCAATCTGTGCTTCAGGGTGAACGAACGTTAGTTTCGGATTTGTAGTTTAACACGATGCTTCTATTGCAGCTTTTGAAGTGCTTGTTAATTATTTAATTAATTGCAGTTCCCGAGGAATTCCAATTTGACCCTGTCACCAAATCGTATGGTGATCCTTCGCGAAGACCAGAGGTTAAAACTAGTACCATCGAATTCATAGCACCTAGTGAATATATGGTAATAATTCAAACTATTTAGTGGCTTTAAGTATTACTTATTAAGATTCATTGTAAAAAGAAGTGACTCCGTAAAACTTGGATTGATAGGACTGTCGAAACGTAATCAGTGTACATTGTTTAATTTTTCTTTTATACAGCTTCGACCACCCCAACCAGCGGTCTATCTTTTCGTTTTGGATATTTCAAGGCTCGCTGTAGAGAGTGGATACCTTGGCATTGTTTGCAACACGATAGCTGAAGAATTGTCCAAATTGCCGGGAGACGGTAGGACGCAAATTGGATTTTTGGCAATAGACTCTGCTATCCACTTTTTCAGCATGCCGGATAACGTTTCTCAACCACATGAAATGATCATGCTGGACGTAGATGGTGAGATGATTTCTTTATCAACATAGTACTCATTGAGATGGTGAAATTTCTATATCTAGGTAACGTTGAATTCCCATTTTAAGTAACGTTTTAACGGTGCCCTTTTGCAGATGTATTCCTTCCCTGTCCGGATAATCTTATAGTCAACCTGAAGGAAAGAGAGGAATTAGTAAGGGAACTTTTGGCTCAGTTGCCACAAAAGTACCAAGGTACCCACGACACGAATAGTGCCCTCGGTGCTGGTCTGCAAGCTGCATTTAAACTCATGGTACTTAATTTCACATTGATTATATATAAGTTTCATTTCCATCATGCAATTAGCAAGGGTATCGTTTCCATCCTCTCTCTTTTTTTCCACCATAAATGGTCAGAATAAGTTGCAAGTAAAAATTTACTCCCTCTATTGGCATACATTTAAACTTATTCGCACCATCGTTGTGCCTTAGGAGATTTCCAAGACTTTTTGTTTTAATAATTATGCGATCGAGTGTTATACCGTTTTGTTGGAGTAAACGTAACGATGAAGTACATTGTCTCGTTTCTCTAGTCACCAACTGGTGGGCGAATAACCGTGTTTCAAACGTGTCTGCCTAACTTGGGCCCGGGTTCTTTGCAACCCAGGGAAGACCCTAATAATCGAGCTGGCAAGGATGTTCCCCATCTGAACCCAGCGACAGATTTCTACAAGCGCCTCGCACTCGATTGTAGTGGGCAACAAGTGGCTGTGGATTTGTTCTTGCTCAACAGTCAGTACTGTGATCTGGCTACCTTGTGTAAGTACAACCTTTAATAGCTTAAGGTGTTATGAAAATGGTATCTTAAATAGTTCGAGCCAGGTCCTGAAACTCTTTATTTTCGATTATAAACCTTGAGAAAGCATGGAACATATAAAAGTCGCACGGGTCTCCATATTCACGTACATCCTGTTTGGAGAAATGTTTCGTAAAGGATTGACCCCTCGGAGTATATATATATGAGGACACTTTCATAACACCTTAACACGTTGACTGCCGCGCCACCCATATTCGGGTGACATAGTAGTGAACTAAAATGCGCGTAGGAGTCAACGTGTTAATGTATTAATGTTAAGGTATTACATATGATTACATGGTGATTAATTCCATCTTATTGCAGCCGGTACGTGCAGGTTTTCCGGTGGTTGTATATATCATTTGCCTCTCTTCCGGGCGGACAAGCATCAGTGTGCGGAAAGCTTGGAGAGGATGCTGCGACGCTACCTTACCAGGAAGGTCGGATTCGAGGCTGTTATGAGGTTACGCGTAACACGTGGACTCAGCATTCACACCTTCCACGGGAACTTCTTCGTCAGGGCCACCGATCTGCTGAATTTGCCGAACATAAACCCGGACGCAGGATTCGGCATGCAGATTTCAATCGATGAGAGTCTCTCCGACATCCAGAACGTTTGTTTCCAAGCGGCCCTACTTTACACGTCCAGCAAAGGTAAAGGTTGAAGGTTCATCCGAAGGTTGATTCCAAACCTGATGTACAGAAGGTCGTATCTTCGACTCGTTCTGCGCCTTCCAAAACGCCGCCTTATGGATATGTATTAAGATGATGTGAAAGGCGCTGAGAAAATTAGTCGGTCGGTAAATTAAAATTCATCTATCCCTTCTTGGTGGTAACGCCATTTTGAATACTCAAGTGGGAACATAAGCTGGGGCGTCCCGTTACCGACATTTATTATTTTTTAGCGTCATTGGTTGGTTACCAGACATGACGGCCTTTTGGAAGTATACTAGGGATAGCTTATCAAAAGGGCTGCGCCGTGACACGCCTTGTCTCTTATAGCATGCCTTAAATTAATAAACTTATTTATTCTTCCAGGTGAGCGACGTATCAGGGTGCATACTCTGTGCCTCCCGGTGGTCGCGAATCTTACCGACATCCTGCACTCTGCCGATCAGCAGTGCATAGTGGGCCTTCTTTCGAAAATGGGTAAGGGACGAGATCGCTCATGTTTAACCCTTTCGTTACGAGCGCCAACTATAGTCAGCACACATGCGACAACCTTTGCGTTCGAGCGCCGACTTTAGTCGGTAACAAATCTGCCATATCTGCAGCGTATCTTTTGATTGTATTGACTCGTATTGGATTAAGGGAAATTACCTTAAAATGTATGTTAACGATTTTTTATTCCAAACAGCGGTGGATAGATCACAACAGTCGTCGCTGCCCGACGCGAGGGATGCGCTCATCAACGTGGCGATCGATGTGTTGACCTCTTACAAGGTCATGCAGTCCATCGCATCCGGTGGTCTTATAGCCCCGGGAAATTTGAAACTATTACCCCTCTATATCGTTGCTCTTCTGAAATGCGTGAGTCCAATATTTAAATACCGTTTAAGGGAGTTAGGTAGTTAAATGCGTTTCTGTCAAAGTGAATTCCAAAGGGAATGGAATATCGTGGAAAAAAAAATCAGCTTATGAGGCTGATCAATTTGTTTGTGATTTTGGCGAATTTCCAAGTCCGGCATTTTCAAGCATTTTAATTCCTATTTTTTTTTTCCCCTGAAATTTTTCTCAAAACGTAAAATAGCTTCGTAAGGAAATATTTACCGTGTTTTTTAATTCTCTTTCTTGTTCACTTTGAGACGCATTTCACAATCCATAAATCCTTTCAATCGGAAGAGAAAGTAATGGCGGGATTTTCTATTTTCTAAGGATTTGTTTCTTCGTGTTTCTCTTGTAGGTTGCATTCAGGTCAGGCACGAGCACGCGACTGGACGACAGAGTGTTCGCAATGTGCCAACTGAAGACCCTGCCCTTACCGCAGCTTATTCAGATGATATATCCAGATTTGTACCCGGTGCATGCTCTGGATGATCAGAACCCGAAAGACGTCGACGGCAAGGCCTGTCCCCAACCGCCTAGATTACACTTGTCCGCTGAGAAGCTCGACTCGAGAGGCGCCTTTATCATGGACACTGGGGACAAAATATTCCTCTACGTCGGCAAGAATATTCATCCGATGTTTTGTACCAACGTGTTGGGCGTGCCAGCCTTCGCGTCGATACCCGAAGAGAGCGTAAGATTTCTCAAAAAATTCCTCATCTTTAAGGTGAAGCGAAACTCTCCTCAAAAAAGACAATTTTATTTTTTTTTAAAGTAAAGTTGGAATCGAAAATGAAGAGAGAACGAAGTTAGCTCGAACAATTTAGAATACTATGCTAATCGAATATTACAGAGTCAGATGGGAAAATATAGGAGATACTTTTATGAACGATTGGAAGAGAATGTTGGCTTGATCCGTGGATAATACTTGTTTTTATAATATATGATAACACTTTCATAATACCTTAACACGCGGAAGTACCACGAGGGTAATTGACCTTCTAATTTATGACTTTCCCTGTCTTAGTACGAACTGCCTGTTTTGGATACCGTCGAAAGCGAGAGACTGCGTAATTTCGTGTTCAGCATCCAGGAAGAGAAACCATACTACGCCTCTTTACAGATTATAAGGTAAAGTTACCTCACAAGGACGTCACGTTACGTCGCGACGCATACGTACACTTATTTCTTTGCGGATGATTATGAAAGTGGCCTGAGTAATTGTTTCTTTGTTACTGACTGGACATTATTCTAGTCTAAGTGGCTGCGGAAACAGAACATGTGATAAATTCACTGATCCGATTTTTTAGATTTAGATTCTTCATTCAGACCACTTCTATAATCATTTACTCATCCTAGCTTTCCTTAGAATAACATGAAACTGTCTATAATAGTACAAAATGAAATTCGGCAACCTGAAGACCATCCAGCGTGTATTGTCATTAGCTTTCATTTAGTTCGTCGCGTTCCCGTTGAGAATATTCGGCGGTGGCGTTCTAGGTATAATGTTGAGGCATAAGTTCCTGTGACTTTTTTTGTTCAAATCGTAGACAAAAGAAGTGGAAGAACAGGAATTTGTGCTTTAATTTAGTATGAAGGTGATAGTAATTGAACGTTTCTTTTTTATCTAATTCCAGGGAAGACAGTCATTTTAAGACACAGTTTACGGAGCGCTTAATCGAGGATCGAATCGAGTCTGCTTTAAGCTACTATGAGTTTCTGCAGCACTTGAAGTCGCAGATCAAGTAGCGGAGGCGCCTAGAAACGTGCCACAGAGCGTCCAGGAGGTCGAGAAATTAGGAAGAGGAACGCGAAGACACATTGCGGCCACCTTTTCCCGGCATTTATGGTGCACCTTCGGGATTGGCCGTTTTCGAGCGGCTCGTTGTTATCGTTGGTAGTCTTCGCAAGAACGAACTAGTACCGTGGGCGTATCATAATGCTGTTTGGATGAAAAGCTGGAAGAAATCTACGCGAACAGGACGTCGTCTACAGGAACGATTCAGCGAACGCGCATCCCTGGCCGTGCCTTCGGCTGTCGTCGAGTAGATTACATTAGGACGATGATAACGCCACGATTCGACTTGTCGTGCTCATGGCTCCCAAAATCTGTGTAGACCATTTTTCATTGGGACGTCGGTAATACCGTGATTCGATGCGTTGTACTCATTGCTCCTCAAAATCTGTGTAGATCATTTTTCATTAGGACGTCGGTAACACTAATTCGATACGTTATCGTGTTCATTGCTCCTCAAAATCTGTGCCCGGCTGTCGTCGAGTAGACTATTCTTCATTAAGACGATGATAACGCCATAATCCGATGCGTTATCGTGCTCATTGCTCTTCAAAATCCTGTGTAGACTATTTTTCATTAGGACGATGACAACGCCATCGTCCGACGCGTTATCGTACTAACAGCTTCACAAAATCTATGTCCGGCTGTCGTCGAGTAGACTATTTTTTACTAAGACGATAACGCCATGATCCGACGTGTTATCGTGTCACATTGCTCCTGAAAATCTGCGCCGTGGTGAAGTCCGTCGACACAGGGACGAAAAAATTGCGATTGTTTTCTATCCTGCGACACATTTGCTTGCCTTGCATGTCGATTATGTCTCTGTTATTTTAGCTCGCTGTGCAATTCCATTGTTACATGGTCTACCGTGAAGAGTGGTGTTCAGATCTTGCTCGACGTTTAGCTCTGTACGACGTTTGTGTTCCGGTTCAGAAATAGTCTTTCACGAGTTGCATCGAAAACCTGGAAGAGAATCAATTATAAGGACGAGTGTTCCGCAGCAAGCGCCGTTTATTGTGTCGCAGGTGTATTAATTTCTTTACACTTGGATGGGATAACTTAAGAAGAATATCTCTTAACTAAGCGACAGTATTAATTTAAGTCTAGGCTGTGTTGTGTAAATCAATTCTGTGGCTTAATAGATAATAATTGCTCTGACGTTGACTCGTCCAAGTGTAAAGACATTCGACAGTCCAATAGGTCCTTACTCGTGACTCATTAGTGTTAATAGACGTCTTTTATCTGTACCCTTTAAGTGGCTAAAAATGTCTTTTAACGCCAAAAGTGAGGTGCGAGTTTGGACTGTAGTGTACGAAGCAGTCTTTGATTCTGCCTGTTTAAATTTCAAGTGGAGGAAATTCTGCTCTGACTTCGCAATCCAAGATGGCCGACCTGGCTCTACCGTGGCCTTAAGATACACCAAAGAATTCAGAAGTCCCATAGAAGCCCAGATCCTATGTTAGCGCTTGATGCCCTAAAAGTTGGCTAACAAACCGGAAGTGGGGGTAAAAGAGAGATCGCATGTGTTAGCCAACGATATCTCACGTACGGGGTAAGATAAATAAAGAATGCAATCGCTATATATCGCCATAAGGTTAAGAGAGATGGAGAGATGATTACAGCGCCGCCACCTGGTGGCTAACGTACTATTTGTCGAGCATCGAACGTACGTATCCTTCAGGGTTTCTATGGAGACTTATGAATTCTTTGGATACACGAAAGCTTTTACCAGGGTCTGGAACAGCGAGCGGGGGTTTCTTTCGTCATTATTTTTGGGGGGAGAATTCAATGACTGTGGGCGTACTTTTCAAATATAAGGGAACGGTACCGAGATAATCTCGTTCATACGAAGGGCGACCACGCTAATCCGGAACTGCCAGGAGAGGCGCCAGAGAAAAAGCTGTTCGCGATATTTAAGATGTTGCGAAAGGCCAAGGCCTTGTTAACACTAACCCGGGAATTAAAGTTTCACTATCGCGTAGTTAAATAAATTGTCTGAAACTTTGGTCTGCAATTATTTACTCGGACCCGATTAAGAGCGAATATTCGGAAATTAGAATAAATGGTACTGTTAATTATTGGGTCGTCCAGTCAATTCCTTTTTACACTTGGACGAGTTAACATTAGACCTTTCTTCATTAAGCAACTAAGTTAAGTACAATATATTAAGGTCTGTTATGGGTCTTTGTTGTAATTATTTTGTAGGTTAATTTTGTTGCTTAATGGAGAAGAATTTGTCTAGAAGATTCTCTTATCCAAGTGTAATGAAATTAATCCAACAGTACTGTTGAATAGCTTTATCTCAGATGTTCAGATCATTCCGATTCAAATGAACAGTTAAATTCGGATTTAATGAACCTCTCTGGATTTAGAATGAGTACCGAGTGATCGGTGTAAACCGATTGTCAGCCTTAACGTCCCTCGAATCGCGAATCATGAACCTTTGTAGCGGCCGTTAATTGTGTAGCCACCTTAAGGCGGTATGAAAGTGGAATTAGGGGTCTCGTTTATGAAACCTTCCACTGAATTGGGCGTACCTAATCGTTTGAAATCTGAACATAATGGAGGTCCTGAGGAAGTTTCCTCTATCCATGAAATTTCATTTTATCTTTTTCAAGATTTGTTTATAAATTTAATCTCTTAACTTTGCATTGATGAAATTTCATGGCTGTCGAGACCTTCCCTAGGGCCTTCATATTCACGTGGTGAAATTTCATAAAATTCGGTACACCCAGTTTGTAGAAAAGTTCGGATTAACGATTGTCCGCTGCCACTTTCATATCGCCTTAAGGGGATGTGAAAGCGGCGTCGAAGAGGTTTTCCATGTGAAACTTTCCTCCGGACTGGGTGTACCGAATCGTTTCGAACTTCACAATGTGAATACAAAGGCTATAAGGAAGGTCCTGACACTCATGAAATTTCAATTGCTTAAAAATTTCTTTATAGGTATTTCCAATATTTTTTAATAATAAATTAAACTTCATGGGTTTCAGGACCTTCCTTATAGTCTCTACATTTATGTTGTAATGTTTGAAAGGACTCGGTACACTCAGTTCGTAGAAGAGTTTCATGAATGACCTTTCGGATGCCACTTTTTCACATCCCCTTAAGTCCAGGAAATCGTCCGTTTGTAAATCTTAATGGCGACGTTTGGTCTCTCGCAACGTCGTAAACGAGCCGCAATCTCTTTTCTACGACGTCGAACGTCGCAGCGCGAGAATTGTAACATAAATATTATTTACGAATTAAGCGGTAGGCTGGGGGAGGAAAATAAAGAAAAATAATGTAGAGCGCACCTCGTCGCGGGTCGTTTCGCTTTTTTTCCGGGGATGACCGCGCGAGGGCGACACCAATATGTAGGTATGCATGTGTGTATGTATGTATGTATGTATGTAAACACGTCGCTGGTGGGAGTAGTGTAAAGAGTGCGCGAGTAATGCGACAATGTTTAATAGTGAAACGAGGACCTCGGGGTTCCTTGTTTAATTCCTACGAGAGATGATCGAAGAACAAGATGGCCGATCGCCATTCCCGTGTGTTTTATTATCATTTGTCGACTATTATCGATTGTTACTAGTTATTACTATATTATTGAGCTATGTACGTTACTTGCAATATATGGGATGAATGAGTAGTTGGACTACTTTTGGTATCGCGTCTCGAACTTTCGTCGTTTTCGATGGAAATTCCCCTTTGTCGAGGTGTCGAATTTTCTGGGAATCTTTTGAATATTCAGATGTTGGCTTTGGGAGGTCTCGGTCGTGAAATTATTTTTTAAAACTAGATGTACCGAATCGGTGAAAACTATGCTAAGCGGATGTGGAGGCTTTAAGGAAAGTCCTTCCACTCAGCGGTTAGAATTTTTTGAAAATTTGTTTATAGATACTTTTACAGTTTTTTTATGAAAATTGAAATTTAATGGGTGGAGGGACCTTCCTTATAGCCTCTAGATTCATGTTGTAAAGTTTTAAGCGATTCGGTACACTCAGTTAGGAGGAAAGTGCCATAAATGATTGATGCTTCTCAGATGCCACTTTCATGTCGCCTTAAGGAGGCGTCGAAGAGTTCTTGTTCATGAAACTTTCCCCCAAACTGGGTGTACCGAATCGATTAAAACTTGACAACATAAATATAGAGGGTACAAGGAATGTCCTGAAACTCATGAAATTTCAGATTCTTAAAAAATTGTTCATGGATTTTTCTAAAATTTGTTATATAATATAATATTTCATGAGAGTCAGGGTCTTCTTTATAGGCTCCATGGTCATGTTGTAAAGTATAAAACTATTTGGTTAACACAGTTCCTTGAAAAGTGTCATGAACGATTGATCTCTCAGATACTGCTTTCATTACGCCTTAAGGTGAAGTGAAAGTGGCATCTGAGAAGTTAATCGTTCATGAAACTTTACTCCGAACTGAGTGTAACGAATCGTTTCAAACTTTAGAACGTGAATATGGTAGGCTCGGAAACTCGCAAAATTTCATTTTTTATATAAAAAAAAAATGAAAAAATATCTGTAAATAAATTTTCTTAAAATTGAAATTTCATGGGTGCCAGGAACTTCTAAATAGCCTCTATATTCATGTCGTAATGTTTGAAATGATTTGGTAAACCCAATTTGGAGAAAAGTTTGATAAACGAGACCTCTTTGACGTCACTTTGACATCCCCTTAAGGTGATATGAAAGTATGATATATCCATACCAAAAAGTGAAAATATTTATAAAACTTTTCTGCATACTTAGTGCACCAAATTATCTAAAACTTCAACACGTGATTATGGAGGCTCTAAGAAAAAACTCGCTGCTCATGAAATTTCTTTTTTCAACAAAAATTTCCTACTTATCTCGGAGAAGAATCAAGAAAGGTATTGTTTTGTTGAAAAATGAAATTTCACGGGCAGCGCGTTCTTCCTTGTCGCCTCCATAATCACGTGTTAAAGTTTCAGATAATTCGGTGCACCCAGTTTGTAGAAAAGTGATTTAAATATTTTCACTTTTTGTTATGTATACATCACACTTTCATATCACCTTAAGGGTTATGTTATATATATGTGCCCATAATTATGAAAGTGGTCTAAGTCATATATTTTTTGTTTCGAAATTACATTGAATTAATTTAGTTTAAAATAATGTGGCGTGAAATAACTGATAAACTCATTTTTTTTTTCAATTTTGATTTAGACCACTTTCATAATTATGGGCACATATATGCATTTAGGTATGATTAAATTGTTCCGTTGTGCCTGTATCATTTAGTCCCTCTAGATTCGCGAAACGTCACACCGAGCGCCGCGGCGCCGCGGCGCCTCGGTGCGTCGCGGCGCTGCCAGAGCGCCGGCGCCCGGGCGGCCCTGTCGGCCCCCTTTGACTTCGTTATCAGTCGCAACACCGTCGCCGTGGGAGCGACTCGACTCGATAGCGTTCCGGTGAGTCTCGCGCCCTCGGTAGAGCGCACGCGCCAAGCACGCGCTGGAACACTTTCCCCTGGCTCCGCCGCCCGAGGGATCGCTCCAGCGGAATTGTCCGTCTGAAAAGATAAATATTTATGTTGATCCGGCTAATGGGAACCGCGGGCAAGGTAGAGTCCCGTGCCAAGACCACATCGTGAACCACTCACGACAAAGATAAGATTGATGGGATGACGAGAAAATGCGTAATCGATCGCGGCGATATAGCGAACGGCTATTGTGCCGAGGGGGCTCGGTAGAGGTGCGCGCCAATAGCACACCGCGGGAAGGACTTGTTGCGACTGCTCCAGGCAATTGGCAATACTTCCTGCAGGCTCATCTATCGTTTAAATGAACATGGGAATTCGGTAATACGTAAAATCCCGGTAGAGTCCTGCGCCAAGATTATTATGATACGGGGTTTGGTGCACTAGTTTTTTTTTAGTATACTATGAGGTGAGGTTTTTCTGTTCGGTTTATTAGTTGTGGGTGTTTCTGATCGAGTTTGGCAGGTTACGAATTATTGGGCAGAGTTTCGCGCCAATGTCGTGTCGTGAAGTTAGAGAGGTTGATTTAGGGTGGCCTTAACTTCGGGTGTAGAGTTTGTAATTGCGATGTAAAAGGTATGTTGTCGGTGGGAAAGGTAACAATGCTTGTTGGAGGTGTAGATGTAGACGGGGAGAAACGTTTCGGTAGAGCCTCGCGCCATTCTCATATTGAACAATGGAATTCGTTTATAGGGGAGGATAAAGGGGCTGCTTGATCGAGTACATTCAAATTATAACAATGACAAAGTACGCGCTGTAGTCTGGTTAATCAATGACAAATAATGGCGTCATATGAGTATCACCGAATGCGGTAGACTCCTGCGCCAATATCACATCGGTGAATGTTACTTAACGAGGGGTTAAGCCGTTTCATATCTTGTTCTTTTATAATTTGGATTGCAGAGGTACTGAATAATATTTTATTGCAAAATTACTTCCGGGTTAATACTTATTGACGTTTTGGTATCAGAGGGTAGTAATGCTAATTGTATGTCCTTTTCTTTACGCGAAAGAAGGGAACGTCAATTGTCCGCGGTACGATGGAATTA